ATTGCACACACAACAGCTAATTAGGTGTAAGGAGTTTTTTTACCATAAAGTGATTGCAATATTCAAACTTCATCTGCTATTGCCCATGAGTTGCTTAGCGGGGTTAAATCAGCATTTAGATTCAAATTCTCCAAACCCTCTACCCAACAAGGGAAATCTGTTCTTGTCATGTGGATTTTCCAACAAAATTTACCAAGCCATATTTTTGGTATGGTCTTGTTCATTTCTTTTGTTTGGAATACAGTTTGCAATATGTAATGTAGGTATCACTTGGGGAAGGATGGCCACACGCATCCATGGTGGATGATATGAAGCTGCAAAATGGCATAAAAATGTGAAGCTTTTTGGCTCAATGGAGCTTTTTGGCTCAGTGACATTGGACTGACTATAACAACGGCCTAATGAAGCTTTGAGGATAGCTAACATGTACAAGGCTGCCAAGATATGAATAGAAAAATATTTTGTCTGATTTCTTGACATAGGATTAAAAAAGAAAAATTCCCTAGCAAAAAACTACATATTTTTATGTCACAAAGCTATGCATCTGTTAGGACTCTACGTACCCCATTCAAGGCTGCATTCTCAGGAAATATAACTTGAAGCTGTTGATGTATTACAACATCTACAATTAGCTATTAATGATACTTTTCTATTTCGCTTATTCAGATACTTTTTGTAGTATATCTATATGTAAACAAAAAGTTTATGGCGCAGAAGCTGTATAACTTCATCAGGCCATAGATCTTACTCGCTTTAAAGAAGGTTGCTTGATAAAGTTAACTCCTGTACGTTGGTGCTTTGCTACGTAGAAGCGTATAGTTTAAAAACCTATATATATATATGTAGCGTATAGTTTAAAAATCTATATATAACCTCTTCATGATTTGAATTACAGTCTCACCGTTAGTTTTTCTGTTAAAATTAACAGCCAAGAGTAAAAAGTCAAAGTCAAATTAATAAATTACTACTTTTTCCTTTTTTATGTTTTCTTTTCTTTCTCTCTCTCTCTCTTTTTGTTGGGAAGAGAAGAGATGATTTTAAAAACCTATACTTTGGCCTGCAAAATATTAATTTTCTCCAAATACAAAAAGAGATGGAAGGGAAATAAAATAAATAAATAAGAAACAAAAAAGATAGAAGGGAAATATAAAACAAAAAATATCAAATCTTTTTTTTTTACTATAAATATCATTATAAGTTTGTAAACCAAATCTTTAATTAGTAGTTTCCAGTTCTTATTTATCTATTTTTTATTTCAATTTCTTCTTTTTTATGTTTGGGGCAAAAAAAAAAGAAATAATGAAGTGGTAAATTTGTCAATTTATTTGTTTGACTTGGACTTTTTACTATTGATTGTTAGTTTTAACGCAAAAACTAACCGTGACACATTGACCCAAACTACAAGGGGATTATATATATAGATTTTAAACTATAGGGATTACGTTGTAAAGTAGCAAATCACAGGGGGTAAAAGATAATTTACCCTAAAGTTAAACCAACTCCCAACAAGATTGAGCTAACTCCTAACGAGATTGAGCTACGTTAGATCGATCAGAAAACTCAGATTAGAATTCCCAAAGTTTATTTTGACTAAACTTTCTAAGAAACTCTCTAAATAATGAAGGAAAAAAAATAAGACAGTTATTAAGTAAAACTCCAAGCAATTGATATTGTTGACAGTGAAGTTGTATCCCTCCCTTCGCCTATCAAACTATCTTTTATTCCCTTCTTTCAGAATCCACCTACCATTGATTTCTAATTGCACCTTGGTCCTCATCTTCTTTCTGTTCTTGAAATAGGTTGTTGTCTAAATAATTAATAGCTTTTCATGAACTGAATCATGATTACTCATGAACAACATACAAAACAAATATCTGCGGAGAAAGATAAAGCTAATTAATGAAGAGTAAAGCTCCCAACTCATCTCTTTTAGGATGCATGAGTTAGAAAGTTCTTCTAGACTTAATTCTGCTTTATAAGATGATCTTGGGGTGTCTCTACAATATTATTTAGGATGGTTGTAAGGTTGTCAGCTATTCTTTGAGAGCTTTTTGCCAATCTGGGGTTCTACCTACCTAATATATTGAAATCCAGTGTTGGAATTACAGAATATGCCGATCCAGGAAACAGAATTGTATATCCTAGAAAAATACAAGGGAGATCAGAATTGCAACAAGAATGCTCACTCCTATCCCATTCTCGAGTCTTCCTCCAGCACTCTCAATTGCTATTGGGAAGAGACATTCTGATGTTGAGGCATTTCCTTCGATAATTTTGGCCATACCTTGAAAATTACAGGCTTCAACGTCTTGGTTGTTTATCTGAAAATACATGTTGAACGCATAAGATACCTGCTTATTCTTGTCCAATTTACTACAGGATCCTCCAGCTATCATGGTTGAGCAATCACTTCGCTGACACGCATATTCTAGATTAGGTATGACCATATTCATGTCTTTTGCACCGGCAAACACACACCATTGTGCAGGATAGTAGTGAACGTTTTTTGCCCCAATCGGCATTTTGTTGTTCCCTTGGCCACTAAAATCCAATGCAAACTTAGGCTGTCCATCGTAGCGAAAAATCCCCCAGTGCCTCTCAAAATAACCTGGATCAATGCTTTTCAGATTCTCATCTGTTAGACTGAAAAGATAGACCTCCACAGGTTCTGGATGCAGCGGACTTCCTTTCTTGGAAGCTACCATTTTCTTGAAAAGGCCGTCATAAAATTTTTGAGCCATAGTGGCATTCCCATAAACGTCTCCATCTGTAGGCCAACCAATCTCTCCCACAATTATCTCCAAATTAGGAGCCCCAGCTTTTCTCAAGGACGATACCAGTGTGTCTAGATTTGCATCAAACATGTTGGTATATTGGACATTGTGGTCCCTGATGGGTTGCGCGTTACCATCAAAAAAGGCGAATCCAATGGGGAAATCTGGATTTTGATACAAGCTGAGAAAGGGGTAGATGTTCACAATAAACGGGGATTTGTTCTCCTTGAGAAAATTGACTATTTCGATCATAAGACCTCTAACGTCTGAGCGGAAATTTCCTTCTGATGGACCCCCTGAACCAGAGTCATAGACATCTGCATTTTGTGGGATGGTTGCTTTGATTTTGTCTGCAAGTCCAGCTTCATCAAGAGCCCTTTGAACATTCTTTAATGCTGGAAAAACGGTGTGTGTAAAGGAACCATTGTAGCTCTTCAAGAATGGCTCATTGCCAACAGCAACATGCCTGTAGCATAGATTCATGAAAACCATGAAAAGGATTAAAACAAATTTCTACACGCATCACGGTTTCGACTAAATCTTACGTATTTTGAACTAATGCAATAAGATTTTACAAGAGGTAACTATGTACATGAGAACGAAAATGCACGTACAAGAAGGTGTAAATAAAAAGGCTTGCAAGCTTCTCACTTGATATCAACACCTCCATCATATATATGTGTGGAAACATTTTGTTTCACCCAATCTTTGGCATTACGGTAATGAGAAAGCTTAGACAACTGGTCATTAGGGATGCCAAGCATGACTTCAATGCCAGTCCCTGCAAAGAATTTCACAGTCCAATGATCTGAATCAAACAATTTAACCTTGTGAATCTTGTTGTCTTGAAGCATTTGAACCACGATGCTAGGATCCAAAGGCTGTGCTGCTTGAGTACCCCAGTTCACGCCGATGCACTCGGCGAAATTTGCCGTCACCAGGAGCACAAAAATGGCCCATCCCAGGGCTCTGGCTAATGCCATATGGGCCATTTTTTATGATGATGATGGTTCAAGAAAAATTTGCAGTTAAAGATGCATAGGCGACAGATATAGAAAAGCAAGCTGCATAGGTGAAAGTTGGAGAAAATGTGTCTGCATTGTGGGGAGAGGAGGTAAACTAATGTAACACCGTGAAATTAGCAAGAAATGAAGGGCTATGCAGGCTGGAAAATGAGTAATTTCACAGGTTCTTGATGGTTTTGAGTAGAAATTTATGGTTAACGCAAGATATAGACCATCAATAAAGAGCTACTAAATTTAGGCGCCAGATATTGTGTAAATTGCAATTCTTAGGAATATCTAGGAGTTCTTGATTTCTAGATATTTTTTTGGAAAAAAAAAAACCTATATGAGTATCTAGTCAATTGTCTTTCTGGTGCTATTAGCATGCTAAGGAAATACTTCTAATGATGGAATTTTTTTTTTTTTTTAAAAAGGCTAGTTAAATGACTATCTTATTTAAAAAAATATATATATATTTTTTAGTTTGAAAAAAAAAATCCAAGTTCCTATTGCTTCTGCTGAGCTTTTGTAATACTTTACTTTTATTTATTTATTTATTTATTTTCTTTCCCTCTTTTTGGCTAAAAGATACTTCATAGTATTTGTTATTAGCCTTTAAAAGAAATACCCTGTTTTAACCTTCTCCATATTATTCCATTTTTCATTTTCTAGTAAATATAGTTCTTGTAGTGGAAGTTTGCATATAGGTAATTAAATACACACATGTCATGTTTTGATTGAAAACCATGATGATTATTTTGAAAAAATCTAAATGAGTGTTATTTTAATTTCTTGATATTTCATTATTTTGCATTTTCCGAAGGCAAGATATGCATAAAATAGGAAACAAATATCATATCAAATGAATTATTAAGTGAAAATTGTAATTAATGGCAACTTTAAGCTATATACCAATAACAGTATAGGCATATAATCGACAATCTCGAAATGTGAAATTTGAGAATACAAAATTTATTTTCTTTTAAAATGAATGAGTCACAAAATATAATTATGAATTAAAATTATTCATTGACAAAAAGCAAATTATTTTGTTCAGAAAGCTTTGGTCAGTAACTAAGGTTGAGTTTTCGGTTCAAATCTCCCTCCCAATTAAATCTGATCCCTCCCAAATGAAAAAAGAAAAAGTCAATATTATTTTAGTTTATTTTATTTTACACATTTGTAAATTATACGTTTAAGGTAATAACTAAATACTAACTAATATAATCGAAAACCCTCTTAAAACCATCCCTTTCATCACACAAAATTGCCGATTACCCTGAACTGCTGCCGATTTCCGGCAGCCTCTCGCTTCCGCACTCCTCGGTCACCCTACACAAGACCACTGCTGCACACCACGAGCAGGATACACAGTTCAGCGAACCACCTTCTAACGGCTTGCCTGGTTTCTCAATAAAGACAGCCTGGGGAGGGGGAAGGAGGAGGATTGAGCATTGCCCACCAGGTGTTTATGAATTGTTCCGAAAGAGAAGAATATCTGTTCTGAATTGATTAAAAAACGAAGGAAACTATACAATTACCTTGAACCCAAGTGAGTTCATATGGCGAATAGCAAGTATGAGTATGTGAAGTCATTTGAAGTTCAAGATGAAATCATGCTTCCAAACATCATTGTTGTCCGAGTGGATGGCCGTGATTTTAACCGGTAAAATTCTCACCCCACTACTTTATTCATCACATATACGTGTTAGTTTCTGGCGTAAATGTTTGTAGTACCAATTATGCAAGTGGATGTGGTTAGCTTACCGTTGAGGTGAACAAGCTTGCTCTTGCATGGAATAGGTGTGTATAAGATCTGCTGACAGTGCCCCAAAAAAAAATTGACAATGGATCTGCTCACAGCAAGAGGTTACTGATTTTTTGCAACTTCGGTGTCTGGAAAAGATTAGCATTTTCAGACATTCTGAACATTTTCTAGATGCAACGTGTCTAAACTCTGATTAGGCATGGTTAATGGTGAGAGTTTTTTTTTTCTTTTTAACGATCTGAGTGATCACAATAGATCAACATTTATCATGGGACTAAAAATGTCTATGTTAGCATGCATAGGCATAAAATCACAGGTTTTTGTTTGTGTAAGGGTGTTAGTACTCCTTGAATTTGATTGGCCTGTTCTCAATTGCATCATTCGACCTGCTTTTAGCTTCTGATTTTGTAAGATTTGTTATGTCATGTTCTGAACTGCGTTTGCTTTCAGCTTTTGGCTTTTTTCATGGTAATCAGACACTATAGCATACCTGCCTTTTCAATTCTAATTTTGATCTTTCACAAAAATTAGGTAATTGAGAACAGGCCCAATGCTTTCTTTTCCTCTTTAATCTTTTGGCTCTTAAATGATTGAGTCTCGAAGCTTTTATCAGATTTTCTGAAGTGCATGAGTTTGAAAAACCAAATGATGAGAGAGCTCTGAATTTGATGAATGCCTGTGCATTTGCGGTTCTGGAGGAGTTTCCAGATATAATCTTTGCATATGGATTTAGTGATGAATACAGGTACATCATCTCCATTTTCCAGTTGGTTTCTCTTCTCTTGCTATTGGTTGGGCTCTTTTATACTTTACTTTCCTCTTTTGCAGTTTCATATTCAAGAAAGACACCAAATTTTACCAGAGGCGAGCCAGGTATGAACGCATGTAGCCTCTCAATCACCTAAATTTCTTTATTTGCATTTTTTGATTTGTTTGATGATCTCTTTATGTTCTTGTATGAAAGTTAGCGTATTTGGAGGTTCAAGAGATATTAACATGCATAAATAAAGAAGATAATAGAGAATATCCAGTTCATGCCAGAAGCAAAATGCTAAATATGGGATGTGAATTAAAATGCCTATGCTTTTCTAACCTCTAAAGTTCGTAAGATGTTTTTAGAATAGGTGATCTATTTGTGATGAAGAAAAGAGCTATAATAAAATGCATATATGGAATTGAGAGCCTCATGAAGATCGGATCCATCTAGAAATGTAGCCTGACCAGCTTAAATGGCCTTAGTCATGTCTGGCTACACTGCTACTATAGAACTGGCATACGTAGGTTTTTGTTCATTGTTCTGGCCATGTAAATTGTCTTGTAGAGATGCAAAACGAAATTTATGTAATGTTTCTCCACGGTGAAACCATTCATTGTTAGCTCACTTTGTGGCCTTGCAGCAAAATAAATTCCCTTGTTGTATCTTTCTTCACATCTGTTTACGTCACCAAATGGAAGGAATTCTCTCTTCAGAAGGATTTGATGTTCCATCCTTCATTCAAATCACGAGTTATCTGCTGTGCAACAATGGAAGTTCTTCAAACATATATCTTGTGGAGACAAAGGGCTTGTAAGTTAAAGTGCTAATTTTTTTTGAAACAATTATTGTATGTCTGACTGCATTTCTATGTAACTGGTGTCAGACATTGCATAAATAGTAAATCTTCTGACACCTGGAAAGGGCTTTTGGTAACTAATTGCCACTATGACAATTTTCTTGCAGGTCATTTAGAAAACCTATTTAATACTTGTTTCTGGAAGCTGATTGGATGCGGAAAGTCTCAAAAGGAAGCAAAGGAAATGTTGGAGGTGGTGGCACAAAATTATGAAAAAGAAAAAATAATTTGTGTTGATTACTTTTATTTACTTTTCATTATTAAGTCTTATGTATTAAATCCTTCAGATAGATTCTGCATGTTTGGTTTGATATTTGGTCATTTAAGTTGCGGGTGGGAGATTCCTGGTTATTGATGCCAGACCTTTGTATATAATAATAGTCAAATGGACTATTGAAATTTAAGGATATCGAGAGAGAACCGAGTTAGCGAAATTCATAACATGAAGCATCCTTGCTTGCTTGCTGTGGTGAAAAAGAACGGAAGGCAAATGTTGAAAATTTTACATCTATATTTAAGGCAAAGTTGTTGAGTCCAAACTGATGCACCTAATTTGGTGACTGTGAAGGATAATTATTCAAGTCATTTAATGGTGTTTGCTGCAGAATATGTTTTCTTCTTAAATGAATCGATTTTCCTGAGTGCTCCATTTAATTTCTAATTGGGTATTCTATGTTTCTGCGATTAACTATGTGTGCATGCTGATTTCTTGCCCCAGATTAATTTTTCTTCTTCTTCTTTTCCCTTTCCCCCAATTTGCAGCAAGTTCTTGTAACAGTTATACCAAAACATTCACTGGGATTGATGGAGCTGGCAAGAGATTAGCAGATGAAGTGAGTTTTCTTTTCTTTGTTGCCAAATGTTTTTGCTGTTAATGCCATGTCTGAACTTATAGGCTAGCTGGAACTTGAAAGTGGTTAATATGCATTTGCACTTGTGTGTGCTTTCTAGATATAGGCAGGTTGTTTCCATTTTATAGACAGTACTACAAGTTGGATTAACATGCTTAGTTACTTTGATTTGATCAATGACATCTTCCCAGTTAATTATGAGCAATATCTCGTCTTTGCTGGTATATATATGTTCAGAAATCTTTCTTAATATTTTGTGTTTCTCCAGCAGCGTTTGAGCATCAGCTTTAAGTAGCATTGCATTGTCTTCACCATAATTCAACTATGAACAGGTAATGCAGGTTGTTAGAAAACAAGAAACCCTGAAAAAGATATCATTCTTAGCCCATTCGCTTGGTGGATTGTTTGCAAGATATGCAATTTCTGTCCTTTATACGCCAAATAACTCAGGTCATCCCTATGATCTTTCTGCTTCTACAAAAGGATTAATTGCTGGGCTTAAAGGCACAGGCTCACCAGTGGGACAAACCCAACGGCTGGTGGCAAATGCAATTAAAAGGCACACTAGTGGGACAAACCCAACGGCTAGCGGCGATGAAGATGAAAGGCTCACCAGTGGGACAAACCCAACGGCTGGTGGCAATGTAAAATGAAAGACGCTCACATGGGCACCAAAACCCAACGGCTAGTGGCAAAAGCAATTAAAAGGCACACTAGTGGGACAAACCCAACGGCTAGCGGCGACGAAAATGAAAGGCTCACCAGTGGGACAAACCCAACGGCTGGTGGTAAATGCAGAATGAAATGCTTACTGACGGGACAAACCCAGCTCCAATAGCAATGTAAATGAAATGCTTTGACAATCAGACCGTGGGATTAAACTTGAGCCTGTCGTGATGAAATTTGATTTGATTTTTTGATTGATGATTTTCTTTTCTTTTTGCTTTTCTTTTTGACTTTTGAGAATCTTTCCAAAAAATTAATTTGCCCCAGTATGTTGAATTTTTGCAATTTGAATCCAAAGTTGACTTTGTATCGCCATGCTGTTGCATCTTTTGACCAAGTTTGCTTGCAATATTTTCGATCTGCCTTTGTTCACCGGAGGACTCTTTCCGACATCGATTTCGGTGCGAAGTGTGATTACTTTCATCTGTGCCTGCAATTTTCTGCAAATGAAAAAGAAACAAAAGAAATTGCCACCATCATTTGCCCCGTTTTCCTTTGAGAATCGTGTAAACATGAGTCTTTCGACGCCTTTATCAACTTTTGCTACGACAGCCGATTGAGTTGGATTTCTCGCCCTAAGGTTTTTCCGATTTTCAAACTGACCAGGTATATGCTTTGCCATATTATGAAGTTTGTGTAGCTGGCTTGGCGGGATTTCAACTGTTTCCAAAGGATGACTGAATCCAAGTATACTTTTTGAAATAAATCACAGGGATTGTCATCCACCACAATTCCATGATAAAAAAAATGAGGTATGCAAGAAAATTCACATGTCATGTAAAAATGAATATGCACAAGAATGCACATACAACCATGTGTGCTTAAATTCTAAAAAAAATGTCATGAATACAAGTAATTTGGGAAAAAATGAGTTTCCTAAGAATGTATGTGCAAAAGAATGTTTTTTCCAAAATGACACAGCTTTGGCCAACGGATGTCATATTCAAGTCTCTGGATATCTTAGTTCCGGAATTCAATGTTGCCAGAGGTATGACAAAAATGAGGAGAAATCTAAATGGACCAAACCACCAGTTGTTCCTCTTTGTGCTTTCCCATTGCAGAAACCTACCTTAGCGCCCATTCGGGTTTTCACCAAGGTTGTCCCCCACCCTTTTTGTTGGTTTTTTCTTTTCTTTTCCTTTTTTTCCTTTTTCTTTCTTTTCCTTCTTTCTTCTTTCCTTTCTCTTGAGGTGCCCTTGTGGATTTTCACTTAAGGAAACAATGGAAAAACTCAACCATAGTCGACTCAGGAATGTAAGTTGAAGATTGCTGGCATCAGTAAAATGCGCTTCCCTTATAAACTTAAACGAAGGCATTATGGACATCACCTGCCAGTTGATTAGCAAAATCCCTAATAGAAATGCAGCAAGTGACGAAAGCCAGGACTTTGGGCTTTTGTAATGAGGTCAGGTGGGGTGTTTTTCAAGAAAAGTTGAGGCTTGAAAACAAATTTTGATGAGGGAGGTGCGAAATAACCTGAGATTACATCATTTTGAAATTATCTCTAATTTTGAACGAAACCGAGGAAACTTGCCCCAGTTTGATTGGATTTTCTCTTTCTTTGCATTTTCTTCATTGCATTTTTCTCACTCTTTGCATTTTCCTTTCAAAAACTAAATTTGCCCCAGTGTGGGGTTCTTTCTTCCTTTTCATTTTCCTTTCAAAAATAAATTTGCCCCAGTGTAGGGTTCTTTCTTTTTTCCCATATCTCTTTCAAAGATAAATTTGCCCCAGTGTGGAGTTTTTCTTTTCTTTCTGATCACTTTTCAAAATGAATTTGCCCCAGTGTGGGGTTTGCAATTCTCAGGGGCTGCCAAACGAAAATTATTGTTCTAATAGTTCAAAAGGGATGACTAGGGATGAAATGTTTTGATTGGAAAGGAAGATGGCCTGACTTTTGTCTCGTCTCTTGCATGATTTCCTAAAAGAAACTTTGCATAATCAAATAAAAAACATCTTACACATGTCCGAATTGATAGGTTGAGGGAATGTCTGTCCTTCCATCTCTCCTTTGAACACCCAATAAGCTTTGCCGATTTGAGGCAAATTTGCCTTTGACTTCATCTTTCATCACTTTAGCACTTTGTTTCCTTCTTCAGAAGATCGGTGGCGGATCCTTTTGTTATGAACATAGGCCATGCGTTTTGACAACGTTGGTCATGGCACATAGCATTATCAATCAGAATCAATCGTTAATGATACTGCTTTGACCAATCAACTTTTAACCTGGCTGGAAAGGAATTTTCTCAAATGAAGGGATTTATCAATGAAGGAATTTCCAAATGAAAGGATTTTTCAATGAAGGGAAATGAAGGCTTTTTCAAAGAAGGGATCTCTTAATGAAGGCCTTTTCAAAGCAGGGATTTCTCCATGAAGGGTTTTCTCAATGAAGGCTTTCTCAAAGAAGGGTTTTTTCAATGTATGGTCTCAAAGAAAGGATTTCTCAATGAAGGGATTTTTCAATGAAGGCTTCATCGGATTCCAGAACAGTGATATTCAAAGGGTCAAATAATTTTATTTTGGCCATCGAAAGAATTTAGAATGAAATTGAACCAATAAACAATCAATATAAACAAAATGGTATTAACAAAATAATGAAAAGATGTGACTATGCATGCTATCGAAAGAAAACAACATAGGAGCTTGATAATGCAAAAATGCTTTAGTCAAAACTTAATTAAACATGATAAAACTATTTACTCAAAAGCAAACGGTGACGAGTTTCATGAAGTTTAACAAATAACAATCCCCGGATTCATCCCAAATTCCCTTTGCGAGAGAAGATACTTGGCAATCCAATTGTGCAAGGTTTCTTCAAGATTTTCAAATGTCTTCATTGGAAGTGGATGCCTCAAAGGTGTCCTTGTGTTCAGGAAAAGGATTTGTATTTATGCTCGGTCCTTGTCCACCTTTCTTTTTTAGCACTATTTCACCTGCCTCGATCATGTCTTGGACTCTGTGCTTAAGTGCTCTACAGTCAGTAGTTGGGTGGCCGGGTGCTCCCGAATGATAGGCACAAGTGTACTGCGAATCGTAGTTGGCAGGGACGCCATGAGGGTGAGATGGAGGGGGAATTACGCTGATTTTACCGGCAGCTTTTAATTGTTCGTACAATTGGTCCAAGGGCCTGCCAAGATTGGTAAAGGTACGATAATGGTTTTGTTTTTGGGGTTCAATGGGTCGGGGGTAATTATAGGTGGGCCTACTTGGTGGAGGGAATTGTTGATTATAGGGAGGTCGGGGTCGAACTTGTTGGAAGTTAGGTTGAGATATTTGAAAAGGGGCCATAGGAGAGTTGTTGTAGTTAGGCCGAGGTCGAGGATGAATGGTATTGGTGTGATAAACAGGATGAGGGCTTGAATAGTAAGGGTTTGAGTAGGTAGGGTATTGTCGAGATCTGGGTCTTGGAATAGGGCTTCGATTCCAGACAAAAACAGTTTCCCCCTCTTGCCTTTTGGACTGTTGCTTCTTCCCATTACTACCTTGGCTTTGCAGAGCATCCAACTGCGATTTGAGGGCAGACACATTAACAATCTTTCCAGCTTTCACGAAATCATCAAATTCTTCAAGTTTATTAACAATTGCGGCAAATGAGCATCCAGTCATGCGGAAAATTTCTTCAAAGTACGGCGGATCATGTGCCTTAATGAAAGTTCGTATGATTTCGTCCTCCGTCATTGGTGGCTCGACTTTTGCAGCTACTTTCCTCCACCTCTTAGCATAAGTCTTGTGATCCTCGGAGGGTTTCCTCTTTGTCCCTTCCAACGTGGTTCGTGTT